GAACACGGTGGAAGCAGTGTAAGGTCAAAGGCCAGGGCACAACAAGTCAGACCGCGCGTCGCAGACTTCGGGCAAGGAAAAGGCACATGAAGACAGGCAGGGAATAAAGCATCCGATACAGAGGGGAGAAGACCTGCAATGCACACACAACAGGATTTCCCACTGTGGTGGGTACTAGTGCATGGAGGCAACAACGCACCGGCTCCTGATTGACGTTTCGGATGCCCAACGCCAGGTTCCGAAAGACGAAGGCGAGGACGAAAATGTTGAGGACCACGAACATCCAGCCGCAGACCTCCACCATGTCCTCGCTCTTGCACCCTATGGCCGCCGCCACCAGCCAAAAAGTCACCACGCCGACCTGAGCGATAAGAGGGAGGGAGGGAGGGAGGGAGGGAACAAAAAGAAGGGCGATGTGGGTCAGAGAGATGAGAAGAAGCGGGTTCATACGGCATGTGCATCGTCTGTTCAGAGGCACCGACAAGCCAAGCCCCAGATGAAAGACGACGACAACACTCTGGGAAACAGGCAGAGAAAAATCACACAGGCGGCAAGAGCTGCACTCGGGGGCTTCTGGCCCATGCTCCTTCCCTCCATTCCCTCCGGCCCTTTTGCATCCCTTCGTGTACTACCGAGACAGATCCCCACATACCTTCGATTCCTCCGCGCGGTAATGCAAATTCGGGTGCTCTAGGTCGCCCTGGTCCTCGAATTTGATGAAAGGACTGTTCCCCCGGTAGTAGAAGTAGTACAAGCCCGTGGCGGCCAGCATGACCATCGCCTGGACGAAGCCGCTGCGGAAGGCTAAGAGGGGAAGAAGGAGTGCGGCCCGGAAGCCCAACAGCACCAGATCGTAAAAGAGCCTGACCAGGGGAAAGTGTAGCAGGGTCAGGTGAGAGAGGTGGGAGGCGGGATAATCACATGAGACCTGCCTCTCTTCTGACGGGCCAATGGGACCATTTCCCACCCTCCCTTGTAGTTGTCGATCCCCGTGACATTGACGGTGAGGAGAGCCGGGCC